GGTGACATCTAGGGAGTGCACGCTGTCAGGGGCTGTGCTCTGAGCCTCACTTGATCCTCCTGCCACCCTCGGGTGGGTCTGTCAGCCCCTCGTTTAACAGGTGAGGCCTTTGCACCTGCTGGGCTCTCAGCCTGGCCTCTGAGCCTGTGGCCCTGCACCTTCCCCAAGGCCCTGGGCCGTGGAGGGCACAGGAGTCCCTGGAGCCTGAGGCGTCCCTCTCACGGGGACAGGGGCTGGTCTCCTCGGGGATGGTGGGCAGGGCTGAGACTAACCCTGCGAGGGGCCAGAGGACCCAGGACAGCAGAGGAGCAGCAGTGAGCAAGGGAAGGGACAGGTCTGTAGAGGACTCCAGTGACCTCCTGAGCACTTACTGTGTGTCAAGCCCTGGGAGTGACTTCCCCTGACCTCAAGTCTGCACAGAGGCCGGATCTAAGAGGGGGCAGGCAGGAAGCTGCAGAGGGGGTCCAGAGGAGGGGGCGGCCCTGGGGGGCCCAGGCAGACAGGGTGCCCAGAGAGGCATCAGGACCCAGACTAAAAGGCTAAAGGCACGTGGGTGGAGGGAACAAGGGGAGAGTCCCTCCGGGGGACAGGGACAGCTGGAGGGGGTGCTGGGAGTCACTGGTTTTGTCCAGAGCACAGGACAAGGCGGGAAGTGGCAGGGGATGCTGGGAGGGAGGAGGATGGGGGGGCCTTGAAGAGAGAGGGGGGGAGCTGCCCCACCACCCATCACGTCACGGAGGGGCTGGCTGGAGCCCAGGACCTGGGCAGCCCCACTTTGCAGTCAGCAGTGTGACCTGGCCGAGTTCCCACGCCTGGCCACGTCACCTGTGGATGTGACCCAGCTTCAAGGCCTTTGTGGGGTTCAGAGCACCTGGAACCCAGGGAGGGTGGTCCCAGGGGACCCCACTTAAGTACAGAGCGCTCCTGCCTCCCCAGGTCCCCTGTCCCTGGGAAATAACACAACAGTGTGTGGCTGAAGAGTCAACTCCAGACAATGCAATCCCAGGCCCTCTGCCTGCCTGCAACATGAGAGGCGGAGCTTGTGACCTCAGTTCCTCTGCATGAGGGAGGGAGCAGGAGATGGGGGAGGGGGAGGGGAGGGAGGTGGGGGAGGGGAAGGAAGAGAGAAGGGAAATTGCATGGTAAAAGAAGGAG